AGAAATTTCAGAGAGCCAGTTTGGTCCAGCATGGCACCAGGCTAGAAACTGGGCGATGGTGGGTTCTAGTCCCACCTTAGGGCACAAAAGCCAGCTGGGTGACTTTGGGCCGATCACCAGGAGATGATGATTCTAGCCCTGCGTTAGACATGAAAGCCGACGGGATGACTGTGGGCCAATCACCGGGAGATGGGGAGTTCTAGACTCAATTTATACAAAAGCTGGCTGGGTGACTTTGGGCCAATCACTATGAGATGGGGAGTTCTAGTCCCACCCTTAGGTATGAAAACTGGCTGGGTGACGTTGGGCCAATCACCAGGGGATGGGGAGTTGTAGTCTCGTCTTAGCCATGAAAGCCAACTGGGTGACTTTGGGCCAATAAACCAGGAGATGGGGAGTTCTAGTCCCACCTTAGGTATGAAAGCTGGCTGGGAAACTTTGGGACAATCACTGGGAGATTGGGAGTTTTAGTCCAACTTTAGGTATGAAAGCTGGCTAGATGACTTTGGGCCAGGAATAGTGTTCACTAAACAAAGAAATGGATAAGATGAGGACTCAATAGCATGTGGGCTGACGAAAATCACTGAAAACTATTGACCTCAATTTATAGTTCCATAGAAGACAATTTGTATGATCATTCACCATTCATTTAATACAGTTAGTCCTCAACGTACAGCCACAATCAAGCCCAGCATTTCTGTTCCTTAAGCAAAACCATTGTTCAGTGAGTTTTGCCCCATTGTACCACCTTCCTTGCCACAGTCGTTAAGCGAATCACCACAGCTTTTAAGTCAGTTACACAGTTGTTAAGTGAATCCAGCTTCCCCACTGACTCGTAAACGGTTGTAAAAGGGGATCCCACGAACACCGCAACCGTCATAAATATGAGCCAGTTGCCGAGTTTTATTTTGATCAGCGGTCATAAGTGTGAAAAAGCAACTCAACCAATGGTTGTAAGTCAAGGACTACCAAGCACTGGTTGAAAAAAGAGAGACTCAAGGTGGGAAAAAGTTTTTAATAGCCCAAACAAAAATCTGCTTCATTAGCCGTAACAGGTTTAAGGCATTTATTGATGAAGGATTATCACTGTGGCTTCTGTTCTTGACTACTTTGCATTATCAAATCTTCTCGAGGCCTGAATTTCGAGGAGGGAGGGAGGGGGAAAACAGAAAAGAAAACCCTGCCTCTAATCCTTTAATTCTCACCCTCCCTCCAGGGTAAAAAGACTAATTTAGTGTGCTATTCTGGGTTTTTAATGCTAGTTAAGGACTGGGCAGCTTCATACTTCCCCCAAAGGTTTTCCTTTTCATCCGAGAGAAACTTGGCCAAGGTCAAACTTTTTGCATTTCGGGTTCAGCTCTCCAACATTAAGAATCCTGGGGGGGGGGGGTTCAGTTCAAACAGGATCACCTCCTTGGGTTAGCAAAAATCCAATCTCCTTTCTGTAAACAAGGAGAGCCTCTTTAGAAGCCAAAGATGCCTTACCTTCTGGAAGACTTGATAGCTGGACTTCGACCATATATCAAGCTAGGGAAGAAAGAAAGAAAAGAAAAGAAAAGAAAAGAAAAGAAAAGAAAAGAAAAGAAAAGAAAAGAGAATCTGTATTAGCATACTTCTGACAACTCCAGATCCAGTCGTGCTTTGATTAGGCTTTTTTGCGCATCAAATTATTCTTTTTTAAAATATATATATTTTTATTATTTTTACATTTAAAACAATGCAGTACCGCGAAGTCGGAGTGACCATACATTCACATTATATACAGCTAGTCACAAGTATTGACAATTAGCCTACTTAATACATTGTCTATCCTTCTATCCTATTAGAGTATATACAGTTTGTTCCAGTCTTGTCACCTTGTCTTATACCAGTCATAAAATCTATTCCAGACTTCAAAATATTCTGTAACAGCTTTGTTCCCGATGCCATCCATCTGGTGAACTCACAAGATCCCTTTTTCTCGCCACGTGCATCTATTCGTCTGAACTAGACTGTGTTGTTTCTCTATGCCATATGATATATATGGGCATATGCATNCCCACAGTCTGGGTCCTCATTTTACCCACCTCGGAAGGATGGAAGGCTGAGTCAACCTTGAGCCGGTGAGATTTGAACCGCTGAATTGCAGATAGCACAGGATTCCTATTCAAGCACAGATTACTTAGATTGAAAGCAGGTTTTATTCTTAACTGTATTTACACATATGTGGGCAACATAACAAAGAGGCCTTGCAACCCAAGCCTGTTGTTTTCCTATTGCCCCGAATTTCTTATCAGTAATAACATAGTTATTACCGTGTCCGTAATAACTATGTTATTATGGACGCGGTGGCTCAGTGGCTAAGACGCTGAGCTTATCGATCAGAAAGGTCAGCAGTTCGAATCCGTAGCGCTGCGTAACAGAGTGAGCTCCTGTTACTTGTCCCAGCTTCTGCCAACCTAGCAGTTCGAAAATTGAAAATTGAAAACATGTAAAAATGCAGGTAGAAAAATAGGGACCACCTTTGGTGGGAAGGGAACAGCATTCTGTGTGCCTTCGGGGGTTGAATCATGCCAGCCACATGATCACAGAGACATCTTCGGACAGTGCTGGCTCTTCGGCTTTGAAACAGAGATGAGCACCGCCCCCTAGAGTCGGGAACGACTAGCACAGATATGCGAGGGGAACCTTTACCTTTCCCCAATAATTATGTAAAATATAGTTCGTTGGGAAAGATTTCAAATTTCCATTAATACATTACATACGACTGAGTTCCAAACTGGTGAGAGGATATAGATCAGCTATGCAAAAACAAAAGGGATTTTCAAACAAGGTCAAATCTGAGATGAGGGGACAACTCCAAATCCCTCTCTGCCATTCCTTTTCATGTTGAGAAGAAAGTCTGAACACATAGATAAGCTCAAACATCATTTCTGAGAAGCTATTATAATTCTAACCATTAATGTGTACACATATGTAGGCATAACAAAATGCTTTTGTTGTTGTTTAAATATTCCTTATAACTGTATTTCCCCCCCCAGGGGCTGTTGATCCATCTTTAATATGATCTTTGTGATATCCCAATCAATATAATTTAAAGGTGAAGATTGTTGCTTCAAAGCCAGACCAAAACATTAAAAGCTATTTTTATTTATTCATTTTACAAAAGGACAGGAAGAAGCCTATGTCCCAAAGAAAAATTAACAATGAAAAACCAACATCCTTTGCCTTACAAGGCAAGAGTTATTGTGACTGTGCTTTTACAGCAATCACAGTGATTGGAGGTCTAAAAAGGTATTAGAGCAAAAGTAAATTTTGAAAATCAAATGGTTTTTGAGTTGGCCTCTTTGTTTTTACTGAAGGATGATTTACTGATCTCCTATTAAACTAAAGGCTTCTTGCAATTCTAGAGAATTCACTTAGCTTGTTCCCAAAGGCAGAAATATAAATAATGCGACATAGCAAAAGGAAATATTATTTGTACTCTTTAGATGGGATTACTTCGACGCTGACGCAAATTGCAAGTTTCACATTTCTTAAGTTGGTAATAATGAAACGTGACTCCAATTATAAATTAAGATTCATCAACAACTATCATTGTCACCACTTGCTCCTATTTCATTGTGAACTAGCTACTTTTCCAGCATGTAGAAACATTGGTGATTCACTAAAACAAATGTTTATGTCAAGAGAAACGGACTGGGACAAAGGTTCCCTGATATATTTTAGGTTTCACATATGTCTAGGTCAGTGGTGGGTTTCAAAATTTTTTTAGAACCTCTTCTGTAGGTGTGGCCTGCTTTGTGGGAGTGGCTTGCTGGCCAT